GATGCTTAATCCTTAAGGAAATGCCAACGTTGGGAGGGGAAGGGAAGTTGCACCTTTATCTCAAAGGCCTTTGTTGTTTCCACAGGGAATATCTAAAGCAGATATACAATGCATGCTCAACGGCCATGGTCAGGCCCTTTTGGAAAAACAAGGTCAGGCCGAATTAGGTTTACACCAAATGGCTTCCTCATATACTCCAATATATCCTATTGCTTGCCATTTTTTTTTTTTTAAGATTTTATTTTTTTCCTTTTTCTCCCCAAAGCCCCCCGGGACATAGTTGTATATTCTTCGTTGTGGGTCCTTCTAGCTGTGGCACGTGGGACGCTACCTCAGCGTGGTTTGATGAGCAGTGCCATGTCCGCGCCCAGGATTCGAACCAACGAAACACTGGGCCGCCTGCAGCAGAGCGCGCGAACCTAACCACTCGGCCATGGGGCCAGCCCCCTATTGCTTGCCATTTTTATTTGTCACCACCTAAGAAATATTGAAACTTTTACCTTCACTTGGCTTGGCCTTCCCATAAGAAGGGAAAACGTTTTACCTACAGAGCCCCAAAGGAGTTCAAGTATTCGGTAATAGTCGTGTTAAAGAAAAACCTGGCACAATGTCTGAGCAGAAATATATAAGTAGAAATGCTGACCTTGTTAGGCCATGCCAAGAGGCGGCCTTATCGCAGTCCGCCTTGCCCCTAAGACATTGCTGCAAGCTTGTTAGTTGCCCCAAGGGGACCACAGATAAAAGTATTTCGTCCATAGGAAAAAAATGAACGCCTAGAATTCATCTGAAGTCCTTTGGTTAGTTTCCTGAATTTGACATCTCCTTGACCTGCACAAAGCAACACACACGCATTCCTGAACTGTGGGTCTCAGTCTCTCTCTCTGTCTCCCTCTTTTCCCTCCTCCCCCATCTCTCTCTCTCATTCTAATAGAACTTGGTATTTTAAAGATTCTCTAAGAACAAGTGCAGAAGATCTTTAAAGTTTCATTTTGGTAGCGTAGCTCAGTTGAAGATAGCTCTGTGATGGAAAGTTTGGAAAGAGAAAGACTACATGAGAGTCACGGCTGGTCTTTTTTCCCTCATCCCCAAAAGGCTGCAAATTTTCCATGGGTTTTCTCAGATTAATTCCCGGCTGATTCACATGTGGTGTAGGAAAGTGATGCTGCTCAGCTCGGCCCGCTGGCAGCCACAGCGAAGTCAGACGAGGTCAGGACCTCCTCTCTTTCTGTGACATCTTCTCCTACATCCAGAGGCTAAGGGGATGAAGGTGAAAGGACTCACATCCCAATCTTATTTAGGGAGTTCCATTTAAAATGACTACACATAATACTGATAGTGGAATCGAAATGAAAAATGAAACCTCTTTGCAGTTTATGTCATTTTTACAAGAAGAGATAGGAGTCCTGAGGCTGGAACTGGCCTGAGTTTGTTACCACTGACACTAGGCCCAAATGAGTGGGCCCGCTTTTGCAGTCTGCCCAGGATACCTGGTAAGATTCAGAGTCTATGACAGTGGCAGCATTCCCATCTCATTAACTGACCAGCACCCCCTCCCCCAAATGTTTTTTCTGAATTTGGTAAGATCTGGACTATTCCCAAACTTCCGTTGCTCCTGATGAGGGAGGAAATCAGCAGGCTGCCTTCATGGGTACCCTGGAATGGGGAAGGGCCTGGAGAAGGAGGAAAGTTCAGACGAGGGGCTAAGGACCCTCGATTCAGCCGGCATCAGACTTACATACATAGAAAGGGGGCCCTACGTAGAAAGCTAAAACTGTGGAAATCTGCCAGGCCAAGAGGTCAGCTCAAGCTCCTGGGAACTCAATAAAAACCACATTCCCAACTCTCCCTGATGCCCCATTCCCGAGACTCTGCACAGGAGACGTCAGCCCGGCCCCTGTGCAGCCCTGGAACCCTTTTGAGCTGCCCACACAGTCTTCAACGGGCCACTTCTCTTTCCACGTGAATCTTTTCTCCCGTAAGTCTCATGAGCTCTTAGTAGGGAAAAGAGAAAATGAGAAATACACAAGAAAATGGAAACCTCACACTTTCCGAGCCTCATCATCATGAAGGATGTGACCAGAGTGTAAAGGACGTGACTCTTTCTATCACACCGCAAGACTGCTTTCACCCGCCACATGATCCTTGCTGAAATGCCAGTCTTGAGACAGAGGTGTCCTCAGGTGATGATGGCTGTTGAGTTTTCATTTTTGGGGGGAGAGCGCTTATAACCCCCTCTCCCGTCGTTCTCACAATGAGCCGTGTGGAAATGCTTCGTTCACTTGCAAGGAGCTACAGTGCATCCCGTACAAGATACCCAGTCACATGGGACCTGGTCCCTGCCCTCATTTGCCCCATCATTTCTTTCCCACAGCCTCACAGTTTCTCAATTGGATGAACAAATGTGACAACCTCACAATTTCAGCTTCCTTTTTCAGTCTCCCACTTTCTCTCCAGTCCACTCTCCATACTGATGTCTCAGGGAGATTTCTAAATACCACTCTGCTTCCCTGGTCAGCGTCCGTTCCGTCTAAAATTTTCAGTGCCTCGCTGTTACTGCCTTTAAAGTAAAGCCCAAACTCCTGAGCAGCAGAATAAACTAGTGGCAGTTCCCCAAACATATAGCATGCTCTCAAATCTCAGACTCTTTGCATATGCTGGTCTCTATAACTAGAATGCTTTTCCTCCTCCATTACCTAAGGAACTCCTATGGATACTTCAAAACTCAGTTGAAATGTCGCCACCTCCAGGAAGCTCTCCCTGGCTACCAGTCCCACCCATCCTAAGTTAGATGCCTCTTCTTTCTGTTCCCTTAGCATTTTGTGAATGCCTCTGTCATAGCAAAGATATATGGAATAGTAATTGTCTTATTTACCCACTTTCTCTCCAACTAGACTAAGAACTTGTTGTAAATAGAAACTATACCATTTATCTCTGTATCTTATCTCCCCAGTAGAGTGTCTAGCACCTAATAGATGCTCAGAAGTTGTTTGATGAGTGAAGAAGCTCAAAGTCTAGGAGGGAAGACAGAGAAGCATAGCTCTGAAATGAGGCGAGATAAATAGCAGAGTGGGGTACGGTGATGAGTGAACAGAGATAGGGCACTTCTGCCTGAGAAGAAGGCAGGGTCTAGGAAGAAAGATGTCCTGGGGAGAAGAGGCGTGGGCTGGCCTTGAGGAAGACTGGGAGAGCACCAGGCCTGTGGGAGGAAGACAACGAGAACAGTGGCATGTGGAAAATATTGGTGGGAAGGTGACAGGAGAGTACTGGAACAATCCAGAGCAAGGTGTGAATTGAGCTAGGAGCCCAGCACGACCCCAGGTTTCTGGCTTGGGTGAGTGGCGGTGCTATTAAGCAGGATTAGGAATTAAGAGGAAAAACTGGGAGAAAGATGGAAAGCCCAGTCTGCTGGTGTTGAGTTGGAGTTGCCCGTTGGACATCTCCAACAATTGTTCAGTAATCAAGTGGATATGCGTCTGAAGCTCAGAAGAGAGTCTAGCCAGGAATGAAGAGTCTCTCTTTTATAACAACTTCACTGGAACTTTTGTTTTTCTTCTACAATTTAATACTGTGCCATGAGGTGTCAGTCATGGGTGGGACTCCTGGGAGAGGAATAATTGGTCCCACTTCTGCCACACACTTGGATATGTGGCCTCCAGCAAGCTACTCAACTTCAGGCTGTGCCTGTTGCCTCATGGAAAACAAGACAGTTAAGGAGACCTGAAGAAAAATGTTGCAAACATTGGTCCTAAAACAAATTAGTTTAGTCCTATCTTTCGGGATTCTTCTGTGGAATGTGGAAGTCATGCCAGTGAAGCCAACTTCTTCCATGGCCCCAAACCATACTTCCAAAGGCCACTGAGTACACAAAGGGAGAGTCTTGACCTTCCTTACATTGGAATCCGTTTTAGGGAGAGATGTCACTTCCTTGCTACAGTAAACACCTCTTTGTTCTTCCCCTCTCACCATTGTGATGGCAACTTTTTGTTCCTATTCTTGCCCAGCCTGCATCACCCGCCTGGATAATGCTTTCCTGCAGAGAGTTTATTTGCAATTCTGTCTGCATTATAGAGTTTAGGCTGAGATCTGCTTTGTTTGAGAGACCCAACCAAAATAGCGTTTTTGCAAAGCAACTCATTGTGCTTTTCCTGGCTAATTTATCTTAAATGACTTGAGCTGAACTGAAACATATTTTAACTCAAAGGTTCATGACAGTAATGGTACTGTGGGAGTTACATGATGTGCTCATGGTTGAGCCTCTTTTATTCCAAATATCTATTCACAAAGGCTAAATGGGAATTGCTTATGGAACCCAGCATTTCTGACAATTCAAGAGGGATTGGTATTTAACCAAACAGCTTCTGGCAATCAGGTATGAGCATGGCAAAGATTTAGCAAGGGCATTACTCATGTGTGGAGAATGGAGGATTTCATTTTTAACTCAAAGACTGTGATAGAAAACTCATCATCAAACTTGAATATCAACCAACCACTATTTACAAAGAGGCAATATCACAACAATGCCCAGGGAAATTTAAATGATGCATAACAAAAATTCTCAGTGAAGCCCAAAAACCAATCATTCCATCCAACACGCTGAATTGGAGTGCGCTACTCCCAAAGCTGGCACTGTGTTCAGTGAAAAGGCCTTGAAACAGTTACTTCTTGATTCAAAGCAAAGGTGCCAGCTTATTTAGAATTGTAGTATCTAATATATTCCCTAACTTTTGTTTTTTAAAAAAAGGCTAAGTAGTTTAACTATAGCCTCCGCCATATTGGGTAAATATAAGTGACATGTCAGCATAACCTCCATGGTCTGATTTTTAATTTCTGTGAAGTTTGGTGGTCAGATTCAGGCTAGCCTCTCCCAAGCAGCAGCAGGCTGCGACCACATCGCTCAGATGCTCCCTGCAAGCTGGTAATCTACAGATGCTTTTCTAACCTGCTCGAAATGCAACCTGCGTTAAACCATCTTTGGTTGACAATGCTTCTGTCATTAACAGGTCGGAGATCAAATCATTGAAATCAATGGGGAGAGCACAAGAGACATGACGCACGCCAGAGCCATAGAACTCATCAAATCAGGGGGAAGAAGAGTAAGGCTGCTGCTGAAGCGCGGGACGGGGCAGGTCCCGGAGTATGGTGCGTGTCACGTTTTGATTCCCCTTTTTTCTGTTTTCTCTGAGTACTGTAAATGCCTATGCTTATTTATAAAACTACATCAGTTCTCTAATTCTACCTAAGTATATATTTAGTGATCAGTAGGTGTATATATACATATGTGTATGTAAGCATCAGGTTTATATGTGTGTGAGCTCTTTCTTTTGCTCCCTTCGCTAGGAAATGTTTAAAACAGCAAATGTAGGGCCTTTGCAGGGCATCTCTGAGCGTGCTGGGAGATCCAGCCACACTTATATATTCAGGCTTTTGTCGTTGGACTGATAGCCCTCTGTTCATTTGAGTCCACAGTAATTTATCAATTATTTCCTAAAATGGCTCTTGCATCAGACCGTCCTGTAGGATGCGTAACTGGGGTTGAGGGGACAAGCAAGAACAAATCTTCAGGACGTGAAGACCAAAATGTAAACTTGGGTTCCTGCAATGGTTGCATGCTTTGGCATTTTGGGATATTCCAAAAAATCACTCTGATGTTGGCTCTCTAGATGCTTCTGAGAAAGGCTTTCAAGTGCATTTTAATTCATAGATTTGCCTTCAAAAAGCTTTATTGGTGTTATTTCCCAACAGCCAATTTAAGGCCCCACTGACAGCTTGACTCCAGCATGTCAGAAACTGGCGGGTGGTCATTCCATGAAAAGAATCGAAACCCGAGCTGGTCTTTCATTGATCTCAGGGAGCCACGGAGAGACTGACACAGACCGACAGACATCAGTGAAGAGCAGTGCGGAGAATACCCATCCAGACTAGGGAAATGGGATCTAACTGCTGACGGAATAATTGCTCAAATTGTTGCTCTAGCTGACATTGACTCATTTCCACCCCTCCATTCCCTAGCCAAAAGCAAAATAAAAAATTCTAAATTGTACTTTTCTCTCTCACATTATGCTTTTTGCTTAAGTTACTTAATAATTGACTGAACACTTCCTTATTTAATGGGGCAATACAGTCCTGATTTCAGGCTGAAATACCTGCCTTCAAAGGCCCTTAAATACTTTGTGTTTCCCAGGTCTTGAACGTCCTAAAGCCTGCAAAAAGAGCTGGCAAGTCCTCCCATTAAGAGCCAGGAAGCACTGAAAAGTTTCTGTGGTACTGGCTCTATGCCCAAGGAAATATTTCATCCCAGATTCCCACCCTGAATGCTTGGACCTAATAAAATATTTTAAAATATTAATATTAGCAATAAGCACAGGCCTGATCTTGTTAAACGGCACTGGCAGTAATCCGTTGTAAAGAATATGAACTCGTGGAATAGAATAACTTCCTACACCCTAGAGCGCTGAGTGACTCAGTAACACCAACCTGACCTGGGAGCTTCTATCACTTCTGGAAAATACCTCATGTTAAAGGCCGTCTTTCACTCCCTGGCAACTGTTGTCTATACCAAGGGATGTTCATAGAGTTAACATTGTTCTGACAAGCTAATCTTTAAAAGTTAACCTGAACAACATGGCTGCCCTGAGCTTTCTATTCTTTTGTAGAATCATTATTCGGTCCATACTTCCAGCACCCACCACGCCGGCTGCTTGCCCACGGGAACCAGTTAGAGCAGTACTTCTGACCAGCCTGGGCATAACTCAAGCTGTAATGCCTAAGTATGAAGCTGCCTCAGACCATCTTTAAGAAAAAATAAAGACATGTTTTTGAACAAGACAAAAATTCAAGACCATGTCAAAATTATCTCATTAATTCTTAGCATCCAAAAATATCTAGATAAGGCTTAATTCTAAAATTAACCAACACAGAGAGTTCACTAAATATCTGGGCAGATTTTTGAGGGGCCAAGCATCAATAGTATTAACTCTAGCAGCATTGCAGGACTTCTTCTAAATTTATTCTCAAATGTAACATTAAATCATACTTGCTGGTAATGTTAGAGCTTGTCAGCTACTTTTGATGTTAGATTGACACAGATTTTGACTGTAAAATTACTTTAGAGATTATGTCACAAAAGAACAAATTTAATAGAGTAGAGCAATCTCTTTCAGGGAAGCAAAGGAATAATCATAAATGAAATAAACATTAGTTCTTCAGGAAAATCTAAACTGAAAGATGCATGGTTATGCATGAAAAAACCAAGAAGGTTAGGGATCAGACTGGCATCTTTGAGGATAGTGCTGTCAAATGATATTTCTGGAATCTCATAGGCATTAAAGAGGAGGGTGTTTCAGGGGTCCCCAAGACCTCCCCACATGCAGAAATTTGCTAGAAGGACTCCTGGAGCACAGAACAAACATAGTTGTACTCACAGCTAAGATTTATGACTGATGTAGTAAGGATGCATACTGGGATCATAAGAGGGAAAAGCACAGGCAGAGTCTGGAGGAATCCATGTGCAGCTTCCTTGTGCTCCCTCCCTCTCTCTCCCGTGAGGGGTCACCCAGAGGGGCACTCTTGCCCCGGCAACAAGAATACAGCATCATGTGTGATGGTGCTGCCCGGAGATGTTCATTAGAGACTTGGTGCCCAAGGTTTGTACTGGGGGCTGGCCATGCAGGCACCCTCTGCCTAGCACGCTTCAAAATTCCAGACTCCCATAAGAAAGGCAGGTGTTTGGTATAAACCACATTGTTTGTACAAACAGTTGAGGCACAGTGAGCCACGCTTGTCATTTAGGGAACGGTTTGTATTAATATAGGGGGCAATTTACCAGTCACAGTCCCAGATGCCACCAATGGCCAACCTTGAAAGCAGGCCTTTCTAAGGACAGCAGTCACAAGCCTGCCACATGCTCTTTCCTGCACCAGGAGCAAGCCAGAGAAGCGCCACGTTCACGGACTATAAAAATGACCCCAGTGTGAAAGGAATGCCCACAGCTAGGGAACATGATAATTCCTCCAGCATCAGTTAAACAGACTACATCATGAAAGGGAATTTTTTGTCCAAGATAAACTAGAGTATATTTTACTAAAATTAGCAAGAGGGAGGAGGGTAACAAAAAAAAAAAAATAACACAGCAAAAGAAAACATTGAGTTTACCAGTAGATACAACCAAGAATATAATCCACTTTGTCCAAATGCACCGTAATCACAGGAAAACTGAATTTTCTGTCAACTATCAGTTTAATCCTGTGTTTGTCGCCTTTTAAGATCCTAAATTTGCATAAAATCCATCCTTAAGAGATTGTGAAAGGGGTTATCAGAATCCACAGGAGACGTAAGCTGATAGGGAGCTGTTCAGACTTGACCCGGCGGCGGGGAGAGCGGACTGTAAAGACAAGGAGACAGAGACCCCACAGCGTGAGGAAGGGTTTCAGGTGATAATCACCTGCCCTCTGTCTGATAGCCCCAGAATTCGGAATTCAGAAGCAAGGCCCTTATCTGGACTTTTGGCCATATCAAGGGAAAGCTGATATCAGTCAGGAGAAATAGGAAACTCTCGCTCTGGGTTCTTAAGATGATCTGTGTCAGAGAGATAAGCGCAGATACAATTGCAAGAAAAAAATACCGGTGGTAATCTGTCGGATTGTTGACTAAACAAAATCAGTGTGAACACAAGCGAGCTGAGGAAAGGAATAAATACCCTCAAATATGCCACCCGTAATTACCAGGAGACTAATCGTCAGACACACCTTGGCCAGTTCAGAGGCATAAATCAACAGATGCAGCCAGGAAGGAGTGGCTGTGCGCAGAGGCTGTCACAGCTGCCAAGGGCGTGGGAAGGTGATAAGGAGTCTGAAGGAGAAGGTGCTTTTGCAGTTGAGTCCTTGAAAGGGCAGTTCAGGAGATAGACACTTCGACTCTACTCCACTCCTCAGGATAAGAACTTGTTGATCACAGACTCAGCGGAAAGCATGAGCTGACACGCGGCTCAGCAACAGGCAGGAATAAGGACACATCACTCGCCCATCCTGAGAAAGGAATCAAAAGATGATGCCTCGAAAGTAGGGCTCTCCTTAACACTGGTTGTTGCTGTTCGTATTAAATCTAAAAGGTTGAGAGAAAAGAAAGCATGCATGATGGTCTTAAAGCTGCACAGGAATAAATTATACAAATCAGCGCCCTGCCTTAGTGGACAGGTGTCCCTCATTAGCATTCGGGGAGCACAATGTGAACACAGCCTGATTTACACTCTGAGCCACAGAGCCAGGGCGGGTAGGTAGAGGCGCCATGGCATGACACAATTCCCCACATGCGCACTTCAGCCTAACGCGGAGCCTTCCCCTGGGTATACTTGCTGCTCAAATCTGACCAAAATAAAGCTAAACAGAAGTATGCCTTCCAGGCCTGGCAGGTGGTCTGGCCTATTTATTCTCTTACAGAGCGACAGGGCAGGCCTTTATGCCTAGAACGCTGAAGGCAGTCCAGCTGTAAAGGGGAGTCTCGCCGTCCTAGGGGACCAGGCAGGGTTATAAGGATTCTCAGAATGCCAAAGGCCCAAGGACAACTGACAGCCAGTGCCCACACAAAGGGAAAGAAATAGCCAACTGTGAATTAGACTCTGCCCACACTTCCATCTTCAAAGTTAATTGTGTCTTTAATAGGTTTTGACCTGATTACAGGCCTTTGGTAAATAAAATTGTTTACATTTTGTAAGTATAATAAAACTGCGTCATGTAAATAGAGAAAAGATCTGTGTGAGCCAATGATTACAGCTAAAGAAACGAATGGGCCAAATAGTTGTTTAGTTAAAGATCTCCCTTTAAGCAGTAAATAAAAATTATTTCCAAGGATCCTACCAGAGCCCTACTGAAGCAGTCCTGGTCCCTCCTGTAGTAGGCAATGTTGACTTGTTTATCCTTCTTTAAGAGTACACATAGACAAGTAAATGTTATCGGCATACCCTTACATCTTACAATTATTTTCTCAACAAATCCTTCCTTCCCTCTAATCATACAAAGATCACACAAAGATGAACTCCAGAGATTGCACCCCTCCCAAATATTCCATGTAAGACAAACCCTGTAATCAATATCATTAGGTAATATCCTGACTATGTCCTCCACCAAACCAGGATTTTCTGAGCA